AAGACCAGCCTGGCTAACAGAAACCCCTCTCTAATAAAAATACAAAAATTAGGCCGGGTGCAGTGGCTCACGCCTGTAATCCCAGCACTTTGGGAGGCTGAGGCGGGCGGATCACCTGAGGTCAGGAGTTAAGAGATCAGCCTGACCAGTATGATGAAACCCCGTCTCTACTAAAAATACAAAAATTAGCTGGGCATGGTGGCATGTGCCTGTAATCCCAGCTACTCAGGACAGCAGAATTTTGTATTAAGTTTTGCAACTGGGAAGTGTGAGCTGTCTTACTTTGTTCCTACTCCATACAGTTTTACACATACCCTTTTTCTCCCCTCCCCACCAAGGCAGGAGAATCGCGTGAACCCAGGAGGCAGAGGGTGCAGTGAGCCAAGACTGCACCACTGCACTCCAGCCTGGGCAACAAGAGTGAAACTGTCTCAAAAAAACAAAAAGCTGGACATGGTGGCAGGCACCTGTAATCACAGCTACTCGGGAGGCTGAGGCAGGAGAATCACTTGAACCTGGGAGCCAGAGGCTGCAGTGAGCTGAGATTGTGCCACTGCACTCCAGACTGGGCGACAAGAACGAAATTCTGTCTCAATAAATAAATAAATAAATGTTTGTGGACCCCCTGAAATAACCCATGAAGGAAAGATCTACAAGATATTCAGAGTGAAAAAACAAGGCTGAATTATCCATTAGGTAAGGTGTCTAAGTCCCCTGACATCTTTACAGACAACAAAAAAGTTTTCATTCTTTCTAAAACAAAAGGTAGCAGGTTTGGTGGCATGCACCTGTGGTCCCAGCTAGTTGGAGTCTAAGACAGGAGGATCCCCTGAGCCCAGGTGTATCGAGGCTGCAGTGAACTGTGATCATACCACTGCAGTCCAGCCTGGGTGTCAGAGAGCAATCCTATCTCGAAGATAAAACTTTAATGATTAAAAAAAGAAAAAGAGGAGGAAAGTGAATAAAGTACAACCCAAATTATATTCATCTTTATACCAATGTAGTCACAAAATTTTTTTTTTTTT